AAATAATGCGCCGTTGCTAGGGAAGATAAATGATTAAGAGTTTACTACATGCTAATAATTTTATATATTACCTCTATATGATCACTGTCCTTTGTTGGCAACCGTTGTTTGTTTTCTCTTTTATTTGAGAACAGGGTAGTGCATGATTGGTTTGGATTTGCTGATCAATTTCAAAGAGAATCCAAAATCACTCCTGAGAAGAGCCAGACCTAGAGTCATCTCTCCTCAAGTGACTTTATCAGCAACCGGATCAGCATACCAGCATCATCAACACTTAACAATACAGCTGAGAAGACACTTCGCGAGTTCGCTGATCTCTCCACTGGCAAAGTGCCCGTTGGACCCCGAGTCGGCATGGAGATGGTGACTTTTTATCTGAAAACCAGCCTAACCAACATAGCGCAGGCTAGCCGTTCTGTGGCAAGCCTAATGAGGATGCAAGTGCTCATATGCACAAATTCCTGGATATCTGTAGCACGGAGTCAGTCTAGATACTATGAGGCTCTGACTGTTTCCGTTTTCCCTCCTCGGAAGAGCAAAACAGTGGTTCTACGCCAACCGTGCAATGGTGAATACCCGGAATAAGTGCTCAACGGTATTCCTCTCAAAATTCTTTCCGATGGGCAAGACCAACGCTCTTCGTGGGAGAATATCCATCTTTCAGCAGACGAGGGATGAAACCATTCCTGAAGCTTGGGAAAGGCTGCAGGAGTACGTCACCACCCGTCCTCATCATGGGACGGACGAGTGGCTCATCCTACAGAATTTCTTCAACGGATTAATCCTCTCGTCCCAGGATCACCTGGGCGCTGCTGCTGGAGGAGCACTCTTCTCAAAGACGGTCAGAGATACCAATGGCTTGATTGAGAAGATGGTCTCAAATATGGGTTAGAGCGAGGAACGACTCCAAACCCGTCAACGCGGCATGCACACCATCAGAGATACCATGCCTATGCAGTTTGATAACTACTTTAATATTAGCTAAACACTAAAGAAACCACTATATATTGTTTGTCACCACTACACCCACCTCAATCCTACTTTGGGATATGTTGGTATTTCATAACATTACTAGAAATATAATTCCCAGCAATGGCGCAAAAATACTCCTGGTATATTATGGTTACATAGTTCATCCGCAAGTGCACGGATATACCATTGTAGCATTTCACCCGAGAGTATTCGAAGGGTATCGTATTTATTTAATCCCGTGGAAAGATCATAGTAGAGAGAACCATTCTAATAATTTATATGTTACTTTTTTTTAACGGTTAAACAGCAGGAGAGGCTCCTACTGTGATATATTAAAATAAAATATGTGCAGGAGAGAGATAGTAAGGGGGAAATAAAAACAGCAGAAAGAGAAAGAAGATTTTTAGCTAATAGATTGTATCCATGATTGCCAACTTGGTTTGATTAAAGTCTTTACTCTATGCACATGCCAAGTAAATTCCTCTTGAAACTGATGGGTACTCCGTTGAATATGAGATCATTTCTTCTAGCCCATAAGTTCCAACATCCAATTCTAAGAATTTCCATAAAAAAGGGGTGTGGAAATTGTCGTTGTGCTGTCATTATCATGCTCATGAATTCCATATTCAGGTTCCATGTTATACCAAGATGGTTCCAACATTGCTGAGCAAAATGGCAGGAGAAAAACAAATGGGTGTAGTCTTCTGTGGTTGCCGAATTGCAGATATTGCATATGGTTCCCCTTTGAGTGTTAAATCGCTTTCTTTGTAAGAGTTCTTTCGTATTTAGTCGATCCATCAGAAGTAACCACAGGAAAACCTTTATCTTCATAGTGTATTTACTTTTCCAAACAAGGGTAAGAGGGATATCTGGCTGAATATGAGCAAAAAAGAGGTCATACAGTCGTTTGGGTTGGTATATGTTTGGAGACCATATGTAATTCCATTGATCAGCTTCTTCAGATGGATTAGCAAGGGCGATGTGATTTGTTAACTCATGCCATTGACTAATAGCTTGCTCTGGGATAGGGATGTGGAAAAGTTGTTCAATATTGCTTGATGAGAGGTTGAAATTCCTGAAAGATATGTCCTCCTGTCTTGGATAAGAAAAAAATGAGACTGAGAGTGTCTTGCAGAATTTGACCATTCCAATTGTCTTTCCATACAAGGGTTGTGTTTCCAATCCAATAGCTACAGTTGTGATTGCTCTGAAAATAGGGATGAGCCTAAAAATGTCCTTCCACCAAAATGACCCTTTTTCCTTATGTTAATGGGGTGGTTTGTCTGAGTCAGCGTAATATTTGTTCCGAATTAACTTTACCCATGGTAGATCTTTGCAATTAAAAAATCTGTCAAGATGTTTGATGAGGAGAGCAATATTCTGCACTTCTAAATTCAGAATTCCCAACCCACCCTTATTTTTAGGCTTACATACCAGATCCCAGGCTGCCAGTGTCATCTTGCTCTGTCAATATGCTGAATGATCTTTTTTGGGAGTTTTAGGGTGCACATATAGTAGGTTGGGAGAGCTGACAATACTGAGTTGACCAAAGTCAATCTTTGTCCCTGATTGAGATATACTGAAGTGGATGGTAATCTTCTTTCGATTCTGTCTACTAAAGGTGCAAAATCAATGATTCTTGGCTTGTTAATGCCCATTGGTAATCCCAGATATGTAAAAGGCATTGAGCCTACAGAGCATCCAAAGGTGCCAGGTAGAATTTCCATATTATTCCCATCCACATTTATGGGCAGCATACATGACTTGTGATAGTTTATCCTGAGGCCTATGCAGACAGAGAAGGATTGAAGAAGAGCTTTGAGACATAAAACTTCTCTTCGTTTGGCAGGCATGATTATCAAGGTGTCGTCGGCATACTGGATTATTGGGTAGGAGTTGGAATGTGTTGTGATAGGAGGAGAGATGATACCAAGTTCCTTTGCTTTATTGATGATGGATTGAAGGAGATCTGCTGCCAACACAAAAAGTAATGGGGATAGAGGATCTCCTTGTCTTACTCCTCTTTTACAGGTGAACTGTCTACCAGGTACTCCATTGAGTAGGATTGAGGTGGATGCAGTGGAGAGAATTTCTTTGGTCCAAGATAACCAAGTTTGATCAAAACCTTTTGCTTGAAGGATTTTTAGGATAGCTTCAAGTTCTACTAGATCAAAAGCCTTCTCAAAGTCTATTTTTATAATTATAATTTCTTTCTTGCTCTGATGGCACTGGTGGATGTATTCAAAACTCCAAGCCACACAGTCCTGAATTGTTCGACCCTTAATAAACCCATATTGATTTTCATGAATCAGGTTCAGAATAACTGTATGCAATCTGTTAGCCATAATCTTGGAGGTGAATTTCAAAGCAAAGTTTTGCAAGGCAATTGGTCTGTAGTCATTAGGGCTTTCTGGGCTGGGCTTCTTTGGGACTAGAGTGATGAAAGAATTGTTTAAGTTTTGTATTGATGTTCGATTACTGAAAAAGTGGTCTGCCAGAGCATAGAAATCTTCAGAAATTATGTGCCAGCATTTCTGGAGGAATAACCCGTTGAAACCATCTGGTCCTGGAGCTCTGTCTGTTGGCATGTGTTTAATGACTTGGTCCATTTCATCTCTGGTTGGGATAGCAGACAGGAGATTCAAATCAGGGACTTGCTGTATTAGTTGATTTAGGTCAAAAACAAAGTGAATGGGCTTAGAGGTGCCCATTCTGTCTTCGAAGGTATTTAGCAGCACTTGAGCCTTTTCTTCATGGGAAGAAACTATTCTGTCATCCACCTTTAAATGTGAAATTTTGTTTCACCTATGTCTGTCTGTAGCTGCAGCTTGGAAGTACTTTGGGTTTTCATCCCCAAACTTAACCCATCTGATTGTGTATCTCTTTTTCCAGAATTCATTCTTATATTTCAGTAGTTCAAGAATATGATCTTTTAGGATGGCTCTGTAATTCCATTCCTGAATGGCCAGCTCTTTGCTCCTCAATATTGTCCAACATTAGTAGAAGTTCATTGCAGTTTGAAATAAGTGAGTGCAGGTTAGATAGTCTCTTGCTCCAGATTTTGAGGCCTCTTCTTACATTTTTCATCTTTCCATTCAGACAGATAGCTTTATTATTTCCTCTAACAGGAATGTTCCAGAAATATGTGACTACATCCAAAAAACCCGGCATGTTTATCCAGTAGTTTTCAAATCTAAAAATTTTAGATTTGGGAACAGAGGTTTCAATAGAGATATTACATGGGGCATGATCTGAGATATATTTTGCCAGAGCTGTGACAGAAGTATGGGGAAATTTCAGACTCCAAGCAGGGGAGGTAAAGACCTAGTCAAGTTGCTGTAACAGGGGCTGATCTTGCATATTACTCCAGGTGTAAGACACTCCTTTTAGGGGGATCTCAATTAAACCAATGTTACTAATGATTTCATTGAAAATGAGAATTTCATTCATGTCCCCACCAGGTAAATTTCTATTTTGCACTGAACGAATGAAATTGAAATCCCCCATTAGAATCCAGTTCTGATCTATGTCCATTTCAATGTTATTTAGCCAGGTGACAAACTCATCTCTCAATTCCCCAGCACAAGGGCCATAAATATTAGATAAAAACCAGGTTTCATGCAGAGAGGAGTTTCAGACAAACTGGACCGTGATGGCATAAGGTAGATTTTCAATCAAGGATCCAGTTAAAATGCTGCTGTTCCAGATAATAATTATTCCCCCTGAAGTTCCATTAGATGGATGAAAGATGAATTTATCAAATCTTCTAGGGCAGAATTTTCTGATGTATGAATGATCAAAATGTTCTCGTTTTGTTTCTTGCAGGCAGATTATTGAGCATGCAGATTCTGAGATCTTTTCAGAGAGGGCCAGCCATTTTTGAGCTGAATTTATACCCCTGATGTTCCAACACAAAATGTTACAGTTTATATTATTGTTATAATTCATTTGACCAAATTGAGAGGAAGCTGATATGGTTGCAGATCATATTAGATATAAACCTTGTGCGTTTTACGCTTTGCATTTTTCCGTTTTTCTGTTGCATTGCATGCGCGTGAGCTCCGGTTTGTGGACGCCGCGCGCGTAGGGGTCATGGCGTTGGAATAGCTGCGCGTGGCCGAGATCAGCGGGGGCATGCGCACGTCGCGAACTCGTGGGGATGGACGCGAGCGATCCGCGGCGTGGGCCGGTTCCATAGCTGGATTTTTCCTTTCTTGCATCTTCGTTTTGCTATAAATAAGGAGAAGAAAACAGAAAAGCTGCAGGAAGTTTTACGAAGCGCCAACTCTCGTGTGTCTCTGCTCATTTTCAGATTATCTACAGTGTCGCGTGCGTTGTATTCGTCCGGTGTTCGTTCTCGCCCGCTCGCTGATTCGTTGGGATTTCCTGACAATTGGTATCAGAGCAAGGTTTAGGGCTTGGACGCATGATCGTGCTCTTGAAGTTGCACTCATGCCTCGCCGTCGCTCGTCGTCCCTGACGAAGCGCACTCTAGGAGGTTCCGGCAGCCACGCCTCGGGCAGCGGCGGGAACGACCGCGGGTTGGTGATTCACCGCGTGGTCAAGGAGGCGGGAGGCGCGGCGAACTACCCCGTGCTCACGAAGACAAACTACAACGAGTGGTCTTTACTGATGAAGATCAAGCTGCAAGCTCGATGCTTGACTGCTTGTGGGGCACCATTGATCCGGGAGGGGTCGCAGTGGAGCTCCATGAAGATCGAATGGCGTTGGACGCCATTTGCAGCGCCGTCCCCGTCGAGATGATCTCGACGCTAGCGACCAAGGAGACGACGAAGGCAGCGTGGAACTGCATCAAGACCATGCGCGTAGGCAAGCCGAGTGCACAGAAGCTGCGCTCCGAGTACGAGGCTCTCGCGTTCCGCGACGGGGTGTCGGTCGAGGACATCGCCATGCGGCTCAACACCATCGTGACGCAGCTGTCCACGTTGGGCGACCCTGAGCCGGACGACAAGGTTGTCGAGAAGTACCTTTGTGTCGCTCGGCCTAGGTTCTCACAACTCGCTCTTTCCATGAAACATTGCTCGACATCTCCACTTTGTCCCTGGAGGAGGTCACTGGACGCCTCAAGGCGGCTGAGGACTCTGGCCAGTCGTCGTCCTCGTCCTTACCAGGTGGCAGCGGCAAGCTCTATCTCACCGAAGAAGAGTGGCTTGAACGTCACAAGAAAAAGGAACAGGAGGCGAAGAAGGGCAATGGCGGAGGCAACACCCGTGGCAAGCGCCGCGGCGGGCAAGGGTGCAATGGTAGTGGTGGTGGCGACAACGCTAGCCCGGTGCGCAAGAAGGACAAGTGCCGTAATTGTGGCAAACTTGGCCACTGGGCCAAATATTGCAGGAGCAAACCAAAGCAGGAGCAAGCGCACGTGGCCCAGGAGGAGGATGAGCCCACGCTCATGCTCATGACGGGCGGCTGCATTGATGTGGTGGAGGAGACGGGCGCGCCGTGCGCGACACCGTCGCCGCCCGCATTGCGGCCTCGCCCAGACGTCATCGAGTTTGTGGAGCAGAAGGTGATCGCCGCGCTGGACGACGCCACCGACCACGACAACAAGCGCTAGATCCTCGACACCGACGCGTCGAACCACATGACCGGCTCAACACCAACGTCACCGGCAATGTCCGACTCGGGGATGGCTCGCTCGTCCACATCGGAGGGCGCGGCACCATCCTATTCGCCTGCAAGAATGGTGAGCGCCGCATGCTTCACAACGCCTATGTTGGTATTTCTTAACGACATTACTAGAAATATAATTCCCAGTAATGGCGCAGAAACACTTCTAGTATATTATGATTACTGAGTTCATCCGCAAGCGCACGGATATAGCATTGTAGCATTTCACCTGAGAGTATTCCAAGGGTATCGTATTTATTTTATCCCGTGGGAAGATCATGTAGAGAAAACTCAACTAATAACTTATATATTACTTGTGATAATCATATTCTAAGCAGGGGTTAAGATAATCCAAGGGTAGAGTAACACAAGCATTACTACTCATCCTCATAATAATTAATCTAACCTAGGTGGAAAGAAAAGAGAAAGAGAATCTATTCCTATACTTCTAATATACATAGTATACATACATTCTAGTTAACTGGTATACTAGCTAATACTCTCTATCCGATGCCTTCCTGGTACTTCAAGAAGCCACCCTTGACTGCCGAGTTCCTTACGACAGCCCGTCATGACCAACCAACCGGGGCTAAAGTCGGAGGAATACCCTCCCAAGGAAATTAACTTAGGATTATTGTCACGCCCGGAAATTCACTAGTAATTTCCGAACTTATTTGTGCATAAAATCCTCGTCCAGGAATCAGCCGAGCTACACAAACTGACAATTTAATATACAAATCCATCATAATAATAACGTTACACACTTACAAAAGAAAAGAAAACAGCAGCGGAATAACAGTCTAGCGATGGCTTCAGCTCCACTCCCACAGGCAGCTCAACTGGGGTATAAGCCAAACGTCTTCTCCTTCTGGATCCTTTCTCTTCAACTGCGGTTAATTGATTATTGCAAGAATGAGCATATGACATACTCAACAAGCCACACAGCAAATATGCAAGTGCACAAGGATACCAAAGGATGGCATAATATAGGCTCATTTGCAAAAGCAGCATTTAGCAAAACATTTAAGAGAAGTAAAACAGTGGAGTAATTAATCAACACTGAACAACACTGAACAACACACCCATGCTGCACAGGCCCAACCATCCTGAACAACCATACCCGGCTGTACAGATCTAACTCCAAACCAGGAGCTAAACAAATTATTACCAGTTATAGCATCAATAATTATTGTGAGAGGTGTGAGACTAATCACGAAAAACATTGCTCAACCCGCCCATAACCGCGGGCACGGCTATTCGAATAATTTTACTCTGGCCAGAGGTGTACCACTGTACCCACAAGACACAGCCTCAACATCATGTCTACCATGCGTCGCGATACTGGAAAGTACCCGAATAGAGGCTGTGACAATACCCTCTGCACAACACAACTCACCACAGTGCACCATTCCTGGATCATAATCACCCCCTTATAAAACAAGGCATGGACTCCCCAGCGACCCCCCGTGGGCTTATCTCCGCCACATCTCAGTCTGGTGCTCCGCAATGAACCATGCTATACAAAATGTAAAGCCGTTGCCCACACTGGCTTGTGGTTGGCACGGTTAATGTTTCACAATAGTAGCTCGCGAACCGGTCCTTAATTGTCATGAGCACGACTCTCAAAACCATGTGCTCACAACCCACCATTATCAAGTTTTAGTTGGCAAGTAATTAATTAACCAATCACGATTGACCATCGTGAACTATCATTAAGCCATCATTAAATAATAGTGAGTCATAAGTTATCCCAATAGTGTGCTAATCTTTCTAAGCATGGCTAAGCAATCATATCTAATATCTAGCTGAACCGATATATAAAGCTCAACTAGTCAAGTTATAATAACCCAAGGTATCAAGGAATAAAGTAATCAATGCAAACAGGCCATAACAAAGGAATAGATTCACACCACCCAGTGACATTTGAAAATAAATGCACAGTTGAAATAAATAGAGAATTTAAATATAGGATCAACATGCTCAAAAGATTGTGTTTAGGATCTGTGTGACTTGCCTTACAATAATCGGTCTTCAATTAATCTTCTGAACACTCCCGACGCACTCACGAACCTTCGCAACGACGGAAACGACAAGCTAACACGCAAAACAAAGAAAAAGACTAATAAAAACCAAATAAACAGTACATATAAAGTAAACAAACATGTAGATCTCGATTTTAGATGAATTTAGCAACTTGAACCACTCAAAACCGAGTTACGATGATTTAGTTATGAATTTCTGAAGATTTAATCTATTAGAAAAACAGGAAAAAGAAAAACGATGATGACGTCATGATGACCTCATCAATGGCCGGACCAAGATGGCGACCTCGCCGGAGATTGGATGGTCGGCTGCGACTTTGGAGGACATGAACACGTAGAGGACGACGAGACGAACCCAACGGTACTCACCCTCGAACCAAACGACGAACGACGACGGCCGGCGACGAGGTCTAGCGGCGGCGCGGCTTCGGTCGTCGGCGGCGACGGGGCTCCGGTGACCGGCGACAGCGGGGAGAGAGCGGCCGAGCTTCTCCACCCTCTCGCGCACCTAACGGTGGTGACGGCGACCGGCGGCGACGACGGAGGCGGCGGCGCGACGCGGATGGAGCTCGGCCGGCGACGACGGCGGGGTGGAGCACGTGGCGGCGGCGCTACGAGGCACGGGAGACCACGGGAGAGGGGGCAAACGAAAGAGGAGGACTAGGGGGTCCTATTTATAGCCTTGGATTGAAGAGATTGGACTCCTCCCGCAAGAAATCGATCCGGGAAATCAAAAACTCGGTTTTGGAGATAAACTCGAAAACGAGTTCGATTCGGATAAGATACTCAACGATTAGCTCCGATTTTGGGGGTAAAGATAGAGGAGGATAAGAGGAATATTTTCCCTCAACTAATTTTAGAAATACACAAGGGGAAAGGTCAGATTTGGAGGAGAAAAACCGAGCCAAAACGGTCTCAGTTCGGCTGCTAGAGGTAGAAGATAAACAGTGTTGAGGGAGGCAAATTAGACTTTTCGTCTTGGGCTGGCTGAAAACAAAGCAAAGAAAGAAAGAGGGAAGGGGGGAACTCGGCTGGGCCGACTTGGGCTGCACGGCCGTGCACACAAAAGAGGGAGATGGGCCGGAAAGGGCCCAAGACTAGGAAGAGGATTATTATTACTTTTCCAATTAAATTAATCAATGAAATGATCTTTGAATTGTTAAAAATACTTCCTATGCTCAAATAATTCCAAGAAAAATCTTGAACATACTTGGACACCCAAAGTATTTAAAAATATTAAAACCAGACCATTTAATGATTAATTTAATATGTGGGTAATTACTGAAATGCTCTTTGTATGATTAAAAATTAGGAATTGAGCTCCGAAAAATCCGATAATATTCCAGAGAGTATAATTATCCATGGAGAATTTAATAAAAAATTAAATCCATTCATGCTTTATATTTAGGAAATTTTATTTCCCACATTTAACTTCACTTGTAAATTAATGAACATTTAATATAAATTCTAATAATAATTTATTAAATAATTTATAAATCCTGATACAAAAATCAGGATGTGACAATTATATATAGACGCGGAGGAATACCCGTACTGAGCTGTCACCATTAGCGGCCCACCTCTCATCCGCAATATATAACCCCAAATAATGATATCCCGTATTCTAGACACCATGTCTAAACTACCAGATACAACTCTAATATCATCAAAGCATAAGCAAACACTATACCCACACCAAAACATCTCCCAGATAAGCTAGCCGTATATTCAGTATAACCAGAACATAATGTAAAGTAGGTACTCATATACTCGGAAAGTATTTCAATACCATAAATGTATTTAGAAGAGTATTCTAATAAAAGTACAAAGTTTACAAAAGAGGAAAGGAAAGCTACTAGAGCCATACCCGAACTCTTCCGAAGACTTCCGGACTCCTTATTCCTATTCTAATTCTATTCCACCAACTAGATACTACTAAACTAAACTTGAGAGGAATGAGAGAGATGGGGGTTCGGCCGAACCCCCTGGTTCGGCCGAACCATGGGCTAGCCCAAACCAGCCCATCCTCGGCTGACGACTTCCTCTATTGCTTCACTCCGTAGACTTGTGAATTTTGGTCCAATTCATTGTGTCAATTCTGAGTTCTTGTCCCATTCGTACATAAGTCTGGTTCTCGACATCGTCCGATTGATTTATCGTTTGTGTTGATGTCGATTTTCCTCCACTTTATTGTCATTCTTTGCAAAAGGTTAGTAGACCTAGTACTAGTGGAATATTATTATTCTAACAAACATATGCATTGCAAGCATCACTAGTTCTTTCCTGTTTTAGTAATATTGACGGTCGAAACTGATCGATAACGACCGTCAACAAAACCCCCCAAGCTTGAACCTTTGCTCGTCCCGAGTGAAGGACGAAAGGAAACAAAGACTTGGTTGTTGATCAGGAGTTGCTACTATGCTGCGTATCTCAAAAATACAGGTGCAAGGTATATGTACTCTCTCTCAGATTAAATAATCTTTGGCACGTTGGCTTACCCTTACCCCTGATTCCCACGAGACACTGCTTCTCCTTGCCTTGGGCGGTTGAAAGACAGAACAACAATTAGAGCACCAATCACCCGATCTTTATTCAACTCTTATTCCGGAAGTTTTCAAATGATTTCGGAAAAGAAAACCAAGTTCCTCAAATGATTCACTCAGTCTCTCTAAGTGTATCATTTTGAATTCCTCACCAAAAGATGCCTTTTTTATTCCTACTCTATGGTTTTGATATGTGGAGCTTGGTAGGGATCAAACATGGCATACTTGCATTCACATTTGTTACTAAGTCAAAAACTTAGACTAAAGCAGATAACTAAACATACTCAAGATCAAGATCGTGCATAATGTGTGTGTGGTATATAGTGGAAATGGTATATGAGGAAGAAAAAAAACAAAATGCTTCTCCTTTGTGCTTTCTTTCTTCTCTCAAAAATCCTTCTTTTATTTATTAGGAGAGGGCATGGCTACATTTCTCTCTCTTTTTTTTTCAATATCATGCACATGCTTGATGGAGCATAACTTTTTTTTTTCATAACCATGCCTTTCTCTCCTCTTTTTTTTCTTTTTTTTTCAAAAGGATTTTCCTTTTCGGGAGAAGAAAGCACATGAAAGCATGGAGGATTTATTTTGGTGGAAATATGGATATGGAATGGAATATTGCTTAGCTCCCAGTGTAGGAGTTTAGCATGTGCATAAAAGTGGGTGTATGATCTTGATCATAGAGCATGAGAAGTATCTGTACAAGTCACAAGAGTTTGACAAAGTTCAATGGAATGTCAAGTAACCAAAATGTATATGGTTTAATCATGATAACACATTTTTGGCTCTGGTAGCAATTTATATCAAATGAGGAACTTTCAACATCTGGAATTCAAGCCAAAATAGTATCAGGATCATAGCAACTCATATTTACTATCTCATATCTCGCGACAACCTAGACTTGATCAGCAAGTGCAGCCCATTTATCTCAGGTTTCCGGATAATTGTTGGCTACTCATATTTAACCTTTAAGAGAGTATTTACCAAGAACCCATATATCAGAGATATAAAACAGAGCAACTATTCATCATTTCAACAAAGAGAACTAGCTTGTCTTACCTAGCATGAATCAAACCTATCCTATCTTTTTATTATTTTCTATTTTGCAAATTTTTATGTTGTTTTCATTTTTTATAGGATGCAATTGGAAAGCAAATATGCAATTGGAAAGGGAAATATGCAATGTGATACAAGTTACCTCAGTGGGGGGAGCGTCGCTCCCCCCAAGCTTGGCTTTCGCTCAGGGTCCTTGATAAGGATTGAACCCCTGAAAGCGAAAGTATGCCTGAAGGTCATCATGCTGTTGCTGCATTATGTTGTTGATGTTGGTAAACTGAGCATTAGCAGATTGTTGCCATTCTTGCGTTTGAGCTATGTGTTTTGCGAGGTCATGCTGGATCTCCCCCGTCTGCACATCAAGGGTGTTCATCCTCCTAGTGATTTCACCCAAGTCCCAACGAGTGGAACTCAAGCGCCATTCACATGGGGATGGAGGCATACCACTTGATATAGGAGGTTGATTGTCCCCAGTGGATGTCATGAGGCGCATGCCACCGGTCCTCACTGGCGCTTGACCGGGTTGAGACCCCGATGATATGGCGTGGAGCTTGGGTCCATCCAGGTGCATCCCCAGTTGGTGCCCAACCTGCCTCATACATCTATACGGGTGTCGAGGATGATGAACTTCCTTGTTCGTTCCTTGTCATGTTGCGCGTCTCCCTGTATGTTCCACATGCACGAGATTCTTCTATGGTCTGCAGGGGAATGGTTAGTTCATGGCAGTTGTACAAATGATACCCCGCATTTGGCAACGAGATTTCATTTGTACAACCGGGGAAAAAGTATATCAAAGATCCATCTGCTCCATGTTTCAAAATATGCCCTTGCACTAGATAGGCCTCATCAATACGCGGATGAGCGGCTGAGATAAAAGCAATTTGGTCGCTAACGACCCCTAGCCCTTTTGCTATCCAAGTAATCAGACAAGTGCACTCAACAGGAGCAGAGAACTTTATACTTTCTAACCATTGTCTTATCATACATTACACAGGAGAAATTTTGATCTTTCTAACCATGGCAAACATGATAATTAATTCATCTCCCCTAATGGGTCTCAGATCACTTCTAGGAAACAAAGTCATAGCAATCCATTTGTGCATGAGCCTAAGTGTAGGATTATGGATATCATTCGTTCTAGGTTTCTTGCAAATTGGAGCACTAGAAATATCTTCCCAAAACCTATTTTTCTCGAACCCAGAAATTCCTTTCTGGAGATCAATTTTACAGGAATCGTAAAAACCAAGAAGTGTACTCAAGCCCTTCCATGTGAGTGTTGTCACATCCTGATTTTTGTTTCAGGATTTATAAATTATTTAATAAATTATTATTAGAAGTTATATTAAATGTTCATTAATTTACAAGTGAAGTTAAATGTGGGAAATAAAATTTTCCTAAATGTAAAGCATGGATGGATTTAATTTCTTATTAAATTCTCCATGGTTAATTATACTCTCTGGAATATTCTCGGATTTTTCGGAGCTCAATTCCTAATTTTAATCATACAAAGAGCATTTCAGTAATTACCCACATATTAAATTAATCATTAAATGGTCTAATTATAATTTTGTTAAGTACTTTGAGTGTTCAAGTATTTTCAGGATTTTTCTTGAAATTATTTGAGCATTGGAAGTATTTTTAACAATTCAAAGATCATTTAAGTGATTATTTTAATTGGGAAAGTAATAAAATCCTCCTCCTCAGCTTGGGCCATTTTCGGCCCATTCCTTCCTTTCCTTCCTCTCTCTTCCGCCGGCCCAACCCGAGCCTGCATCCTCTCTTCTTCTCTCAGCCAAAGTCCGGTTTTGCTCCCTCTTCTAATCAGGCTGAGAAAAGAAAATCCCGGCAAGAAGTCTACTTTCCCTCCCTGCGCTACTGTTCATCTTCCAGCTCAGGCAGAGCCCGAGCCAGCCGTGCCGTGCACAGTGCCGCCGCCTCCTCCTTCCAAATCTCGCCTCCCCGTTGCTCCTTTTTCCAATTTAGTTGAGGGGAAATATTCCTCTTATCCTCCTCTATCTTTACCCCCAAAAATCGGAGCAAATCGTTGAGTATCTTATCCGAATCGAACTCGTTTTAGAGTTTATCTCCAAAACCGAGTTTTTGATTTCCCGGATCGATTTCTTGCGGGAGGAGTCCGATCTCTTCAATCCAAGGCTATAAATAGGACCCCCTAGTCCTCCTCTTTCGTTTGCCCCCTCTCCCGTGATTTCCCGTGCTCCGTAGCTCCGTCGCCACCGCCGCCTAGTCCGTCGCCGCCGCCGGCCGAGCTGCAGCCGCGCCGCCGCGCCGCCTTCGTCGTCGCCGCCGTTTGCCGTCGCCGCCCGTAGGTGCGCCAAGGGGTGGAGAAGCTCGGCCACCCTTCCTTTTCCGTCGCCGGTCACCGGAGCTCCGCCGCCCCGTGCAAGCCGAGCCGCCGCCGCCGCCCCTTCGTCGCCGGCCGTCGTCGTTCGTCGTTTGGCTCGAGGGTGAGTACCGTTGGGTTCGTTTCGTCGTTCTCCACGTGTACGTGTCCTCCAAAGTTCCGGCCGACCGCCCTATCTCCGGCGAGGTCGCCATCTTGGTTCGGCCATGGATGAGGTCATCATGATGACATCATCGTTTTTTCTTTTTCCTGTTTTTCTAATAGATTAAATCTTCGGAAATTCATAACTAAATCATCGTAACTCGGTTTTGAGTGGTTCAAGTTGCTAAATTCATCTAAAATCATGATCTACATGTTTGTTTACTTTATATGTACTGTTTATTTGGTTTTTATTAGTCTTTTTCTTCGTTTTGCGTGTTAGCTTGTCGTTTCCGTCGTTGCGAAGGTTCGTGAGTGCGTCAGGAGTGTTCAGAAGATTAATTGAAGACCGATTATTGCAAGGCAAGTCACACAGATCCTAAACACAATCCTTTGAGCATGTTGATCCTATATTTAAATTCTCTATTTATTTCAACTGTGCATTTATTTTCGAATGTCACCGGGTGGTGTGAACCTATTCCTTTGTTATGGACAATTTGCATTGAATGCCCTATTCCTTGATACCTTGGGTAATAAATTGATTAGCTTGAACCTTATGTATTGGTTTGGTTCAGCTAAATGTTATATATATAATTGCTTAGCAATGCTTAGAAACATTAGCTCACTAATGGGATGAATCATATATACTACATTATTATTTATGGTTTAATGGTAGCTCACGATGGTCAATCGTGATTGGTTAATTAATTACTTGCCAACTAAAACTTGATAATGGTGGGTTGTGGGCACATGGTTTTGAGAGTCGTGCTCATGACAATTAAGGACCGGTTCGCGAGCTACTGTTGTGAAACATTTATCGTGCCAACCACAAGCCAGCGTGGGCAACGGCTTTATCTTTTGTATAGCATGATTCAATATAGTGCGCCAGACTGTGAAGTGGCGAGAAGTCCACGGGGGTCGCTGGGGAGTCCATGCCTTGTTTATAAGGGGGTGATTATGATCCAGGAAAGGTGCGCTGTAATGGATTATGTTGTGCAAGGGGTATTGTCACAACTCCTTTCCGAGGTACCGTGGTGGTATTGAGGCACATGGTGACATGATGTGGGGTTGTGTCTTGTGGGTACAGTGGTACACCTCTGGCCAGAGTAAAACTATTCGAATAGCCGTGCCCGCGGTTATGGGCGGGTTGAGCAATGTTTTTCGTGATTAGTCTCACACCTCTCACAATAATTCTGGATGCTATAACTGGTAATAATTTGTTTAGCTCCTGGTTTGGAGTTAGATCCGTACAGCCGGGTATGGTTGTTCAGGATGGTTGGGCCTGTGCAGCATGGGTGTGTTGTTCAGTGTTGACTAAAATTTCTGATTAATTACTCCACTGTTTTACTTCTCTTAAATGTTTTGCTAAATGCTGCTTTTGCAAATGAGCCTATATTATGCCATCCTTTGGTATCCTTGTGCACTTGCATATTTGCTGTGTGGCTTGCTGAGTATGTCATATGCTCACCTTGCAATAATCAATCAACCTCAGTTGAAGAAAAAGGATCCAGAAGGAGAAGACGTTTGGCTTATACCCCAGTTGAGCTGCCTGTGGGAGTGGAGCCGGAGCTTCGCTAGATTTTATTTTCCGCTGCAGTTTTCTTCATGGTGAGGACTAAGTGCCTCTTAAGTAAGTATTTATCGTTTTAGTTAATTTGATGAATCTGTATATTAAATTGTCAATTTGTGTACCTCGGCTGATTCCTGGACGAGGATTTCATGCACAAATAAGTTCGGAAATTACTAGTGAATTTCCGGGTGTGACAAGTGTGAACTCCTTACGGAAAAAGTGAAAAGAAATATCATCTTCTATTTCTTTCAAAGTGCACAGAAATTGCAAAGTAAGCAAACGAGAACCAGGCTTATCTACCACAGCAAATCTCTGCCAACCAACAGCTTTCCAAATAGAACGAAATTCAACATCCATACCTATCTTTTTCAGCAATTCCGGTGAGTATTCTCGCGTGTGAGCATACTCCCGGTCACTCAGCATGTAGTAGGCTTGTCTCCCCCGATCACTGACATGGTCGAGGTCAACGTCGCTCAGGAGTTGTTGCGGAGCGTCGGCGTCTTCCATCGAGGCATCGGCTGATGAATGAGTATTAGACTCGTCATGACGACTTGATGGAGAGCCCGACCCCTTGAACAGACGAGACAGTTGCCTCCTCATACTACACAATGGAACAAGAACAAGTCAACTCGGCGGGGGTTAGAAATGACAAGAGTTTCACCCACCGGTTAGTTTCACCAAAGCAACTTGTACATATGCAACTAAATGATTTGAACTTGAGGAAAACTATCAAAGCATGAATGAACTTGAGAACAAACTTTGGAGAGGGAATGAAAATGGGTTGAAATGGGGTGGAATTCCCTCTCTCGGCCGGCTGGCTTTTATAGGGTGACCACAACGGTCGGAACTGACATGTGGGATCCACTAGCCGTTGCCTCAAAAAGTGAGGCAGCCGACCGTTGCCTGGCCGGTTATGCTGAACTAGGGTGTTCGGCCGAACCCCTGGTGGGCCCAACCGGCCCCACTTTCGACCGTTGGAATACAACGGTCAATGTGGCCGTGGCATAGTGAATTTTTGTTGGAGATTTTATTTTGGTTTGCTCTGAAAAATTCAATTGAAGAACTTCCTCGAAATTCAAAAGTCCTAAATGCAATTTTGAAATTCAAATATGTGATGATGCAAAAATTTAAATTGTTGAAAACAAATATGCGGATACATACCAATTTACCTGTTGGCGAAGGTCGCGTCATTTAAAGTCCGACATGCAAGACCGTACCTCCTTCTGATTCAGTTCACGGATTTTCCACCCGTCTCTGGAGGTGATGGAGCGGGCGTCTTTGGCTTCTTCCTCCACACCTTCATTGATTTCGGTGCGGAAGACGGCTTCTTCTGAGCCGGCTGCTCTAACTTCTTAGCCGGTACAGGTGATTTTACCGGTCTCCTCCAATAACGGTTCCTGGGTATTGTTGTTTCTTTCTCCTGGAAGTTCTGCATAAACCTTACCAGGCTATCTGTCTTGGGAGGCTCCACTTCGACCTCTTGAATGTTCTGCGGGTTTGGCCCGTACTTGATTCTGACCATGGAGCATTGTTCCGTCCTTGGTTGAAACTCAAACTTTTCCTCCTTCCCGTTGATATGGAAACTGATACTCCCCGTTCCCACGTCAATGTTGGCTCCTGCGGTGCTAAGGAACGGACGACCTAGGATGAGTGGTGTCTCCTTCCCCGTGTCCATGCCCAGTACCACGAAATCAACTGGGATAAAGAAATCCCGTATTTTGACTGGCACATCCTCCGCTATCCCCGCCAGGTAACGGACTGGCGAGTCAGCCAGTTAGAGGCGCATCGGTGTTGGTGCCAACACCGTGAAGTTGAGCTTGTCAAAGACGTCTTTTGGCATGACGCTGACGCTGGCTCCAAGGTTGCACAAGGCCTAGTCGAATTGTTGTGCCCCGATCGAGCAGGTGATCGTAGGACACCCCGGATCTTTCTTCTTCTCCTGGAGC